ATAAGATTCAGCTGTGTTTTCTCATCTCTAAGACTAACTAGAGAAAAATCACAACATTCAAAGGGCAAACTTCGCACACTGGAGCAAAATCTGAACTATCTTTGCTCTCAATGGCTTTGTCACTTCTGAGCTGTGCCAGTGCCGTCCTGCCTTCTCCTCCTGGAGGAGATGGATACGTATTACAGGTGCAGGTTACAGGTGCAGGTTAGCGAGGAGCAAGCTGGCTTTGGCACCCAAAGCTGTGACCAAAACTTTGCCAAAAAGCACTGCTGTGCTCATTCTCACTTTTGGAATGTGAATATGTGTAGCTGATTTCCTCCCCTCCTACGTGCAGATCCTTCTCCAGTTTTCTCAGCTGTGTGCTGGTGATCTAGTTGGATTCACAAGCTGGGCAAGAGCAAACTGTATCTATCCTCGAATGACAGACCTCACTATAAGAAGGAAATGGTTCTGGCAATCTAATACATTGCATGGCACTGCTGCTTCCAGGATCAGATATAAGCCTCAGGTCATGGCTACCTCTGGTGGTTAAATATCCCATAGCAGTTGTGATAAGAACAAATGGCATTAACCATATTTTACAGCCAAATCTTGACATGAATATCTCTCCCTCAGGCTCCCCTTGAAAGTTCTTTCACTTTGGAAAGATTTCCTGTGTCTTAAACATCACACCTTTAGCTTAGCACTGTTAAACATTGGCTGAGTTTAATGCCAGAGGGAACAGTTTCATGAGCAGATTCTGTGATCTCTAGATGCATCAATTTCTAAGATAACTTGGGTTCCTTTAGATAGGTACAAGATATATATGTATTTCTTATCATCTGCTTTTCATGCTCACACCCTTCAAGAGCCAGTTGGATCTGCAAGCGGAACTGCGTCCAGGAAATCTATTCTGTGCCGTGCTGGAAGCAGGCAACACTAGAAATATTGTTTAAAGACTTTTTCCTTTAACTTTCTTTTCTTTTTAAAGCAAACCTGCCCACATTGCAGTGCCAGAAGATTCAAAACCAAGCAACAAAATCATTACCTGAAAACTAGCTGTGTTCCAGCTGCAGAAGCCTGCAGTACCAATGTATGGTGATGGAGACATGTCAGTAACCTCCCAGTAACCTCAGTCATCTGCAATTCAAGACTCAGGTTTCCATGTGCAAGCAGATTTATGATGATACAGGCATTAAAAACATTGACAATGGTTTAAAAAGACCACAATAGCTGTACCTACCGCCCACTAGACAGTTACTGCTTTGGAAGACAGAGAGATAAACGAAAACCACAGAGGAGGCAGTTTTAGCAGAGCAAGATGAGTGTGGAAGCTGTTAGCTATGCTCATGTGAGGGTAATTGTAAAATATCTCCTGTCCCAAGGAGGAAGTCCCAAAAAATGAGAGCACAGCTCTGGTCTCCTTCGACCATCCGGCTGTTTAGATCAATGCGAGCACCAGACAGGAGCTCCTGCTATCTAAAGGAAGAATTGGGTGTGCTGGTAAGGATCACAGCAAAACACCATGAATCTGTGAGGTGAGATCACAAGAAGAAGGGACAAGGGTTTAACTGAGGTGTGATGGCAGCAGCCATGCAAAACTTGGGGCAATGAGGATCTGAACCCAAGTGAGGGAGAGGGCCCGTGCCAGTGCTTACCCTGGCCTCACACCCTATTGATCAGAGCCATGCTGGAAATAAATCTGAATTCATGCTGGAAGGGTTCCACCCCTGATCCTCGTGTTTTAGAGATTCTTGCAAGATAGACATGCAGGAAGCCCCCTTCATTGCTGGGACAGCACCAATGAGAATGTGTCACCTGTAGAGACCTTTCAATGCTCAGAAAAAGAGCAAAACAAAAAGCAGTGAAGCTGCTGCACACTCATAACAGCAAGTCCTCCTCAGTTTTCTGGCCTCTCCAGACCAGCTGGGTTGATGGAGGCACCATGCTAAGGTACCAGCACCCCAGAGAGGGGGTGATGCTCAGATCCAGCTGCGCTGACTACCTCCCTGCTCAGTCTGTGAGCTTCCTACTAATCTTCCTTCTAGCTAGGATAGCTGTAAGAATCAGGCAAGTTAATTTCCTTGACTCAAGCTACTGGAGTTAGGCATTGATTTTTCAGCATATCGACATCTTATTTTGAAGCACCTGAGATATCTCCATTTGTTCTCATTTGACACCTTTGTGTTACATTTCGGGCTGACAGACCATGAAATACATCCAGCAGTTGTGCTTTACCTGATGAAACACTTTGTAACTGTGATAGCATTTGGCCACAAATTGAGAATCCCAATGTTTTCTAGGCCCTGATACAGTGAATTTGCCATCCTGACCCCCTCACTATACACCATTGTTAGCTGTAACCACGGGGCAATGGAGAAGAGACTACTGACTTTTTCTGCTCAAAATCCAGAACAGAGTTTAAACAATTTTTCTGTCCAGGTAAGAATGGTATAGCCTGTAAGTGACTGCTTATTTCCTCCACAGAGAAAATGCTGAATGTGTAGACATGCTGTCTTTCAAGGGCTGTCAAGTAATGTAAGTGTTGAGACGTTTTAGGATGATGTAAATGGAATAAAGGTAGTTTTGGCTTTCTGCAGTAGATATGATTACTGGCACAGTGACTGCAGAACAAACAAACAGTAAAGGCACATCCACATCCATAAAAGGGAATAATGAGTCAAAGGGCTTATATACCCCAAAATTTCAGTGTAAAGACCCTGCAACAGTGAAACAGTAATTAAGGCCATCTTTTGGTTGAAATTTGCTGGCTGTAGAAAGCAATGGATTTTAGAACTCAAGACAGAAGTCACAAGTCTGAACCTGGGAGGAAAGTAATTGGCAGCTGTTACAGCAAAGTATAGTGTTAATCAAGTGAGTACATTATAAGCATTGAAGCAGGTGTACAGGCAAGTAAAAAAATCCCACCATTCCATAGTGTCCATGTTTCTCTTGGATGTCTCAAACAAAACGAAGTGTTTTTGCTGTTGCCCATAGACTGTCTGCAGCTGCAACTCACAGTTCATCATTCAGACCACTGGTTTAATTGCAGCTATGAGCACATGCACAGCACACAGAAGTACTCCAGGAAAGGCCTCTCAGAGACCCTGCAAGACTCCAGAAAGGAGATGCTGAGCTTTTGTGAAATGACAGAAAGTCCCAAAGAGCTGCACTTCTGCACCAGTATGTTGAGATGAGACTACTGCCTGATTCAGATGCAGTCCTAGAGATGTGGGAGGGAAGAGCTTTCTCCCTGGTAGATCAGTCAGAGGGGCTAGAGACAAGGTCAGTTTGGGCTGTTTGGATTGATGTTACAGGCCAGCTATGCTGGTGATCACCTTGAACACTCATCTGGAGGCAAAATGTGATAAAAGCCAACCAAGCAGAGGAAAACTGTTCCAGATGGCAAGACCTGAAAAAGAGTGCTCACTTGTTAACCATATTAGGAAAAGGTGAGGGGACAGAAAACCTGCTACTAAGAAGTTATGAATAAAGTTCAGGAAAAATTAAGAGAAAATCCAGAGGAAAGCATTATGCTTCAAAGATCTGAATGAGATTGGGTGGGATTTTTGCTGCTCTGGGTCAGCTGCAGTGAGAAAGGTTTAATCTCAGCTGGGGTTATGCCCTAGTAAAGTAACCTCTATTTTACAAGGCTGTACACACATTTTCCCTCACTGTGTAGCAGGCTCTGGTCTCTCTCTCCAAGCACAAGAAGCAAGGACACCTATGAAGCCATGGTGAACTTCTGTCCTAGGGTGATGTTATGGTGTTTGTATCTCCAATCGTGTGTTCTGATTATGTTTGGTATTATGTCCTGTGCTTTCAGGACTGATTCTGAAAGTGAAGCTTTGTTTTGTCTTGTTATCAGCCGGCTCACCTCCCCCATGGTCTATGTTTAGGAGATGTTTTAGCTTTGCTTGCTTGCTCGCTTCTGCCTCTTTTTCTTTCCTTCGCTTTGGCCTTGCTTTTCCTTATTAGTTAGTTCAGCTAGGCAGTCCAACTTTTTCCCTGGACTGTTTTTTTTTCCCACCCCGTCCCCTCCCTCTCCTGGATACCATCTGAACCTGTTCTGGACGGGGACCTGGGAAACCCCAAGAAACACTGGCAGTCTACACTCTGTCACCTGCAGCAGTCATCCCCAGCGCCGGAGACTGATAACTGGGTGACCACTTGCCGGAGAGACTCTCTGAGTTTGTCATCCCTTCAGAATGGTGAAAGAGTTTTTTTGTCAGCTGGTGTTGTTTTTTTCCTGTGCTGGGGAGTGTTTTGCTTGTTAAATGAACAGGGTTTTTTTTCCCACTCTTCTCTGAGGAAATTCTTCCCGAACCCGGTGGTGGGGGGGAGGAGTCGTGGGGTTTCCTGTCTCGGGGCTCCTTCCGGAGGTTTTCCCCCAAATTTGTCCTAAACCAGGACAACCTCACTAGAAGAGCCAGAAGTGGGAATACACAGAAGACAAAACAGAACAGAGCTGAATCAATAAGTGTGTCTCTTGATCCACATGACAGTATAGAGTGAATAGATGCCACCACAGCACTGGGCAAAACTACAGAAATAAACAGTGAAAATGTTCTTCCTCTCTTCAAAGAACAAGCCACAGAATCTTTCAATCCTAAGGACATATGATGTTTTCTTTTAATTCCTTCCTCTTTTATACTTGAAAAAAAAAAAGACAGTTCTCCAAATCACACCCTCTCCACTCCCACTGGCTGTGGTCTCCATACAGATAGGACTGGACTCTATTTCATGAGACTCCTTGGTGAAATGCAGTTTGTCTCCCTGCTGCCCTAAGTGTGTGGCCATTTGAGTTTTTGAAACAGCTATAACATAGTGCCACAACCTGGGCAAGGTGGTACAGCCACCAAAACCTAAGCAAATGGGAGCACAGAATTTCCAGTTCCAGAGACAGCTCAGTTGGATCTGTGTGTATTCCATCATAAACAAACTTTATTAAAAGAAGTAAGAATCTAAAATTTATCAGTGCTTAACAAAATGAAGACTCCTTTTGCAGAAGACAGCACAAAGACATAACATGTGTCTGTGAGAGATCAAATTGTTTCCTGGTGAAACTGCCTGCACTCCCCTTTGCTGGACCTATTCTAATTTAACACTGAATTTCTTACTGTGACACACAGGAGCTAAGCTCACTGTTCAAAACAGATACCTCTGTAGTTGTGCAGTATATGTTAAAGTGGTGCCATATCTCTGGAGGTGCTAAAGCTTATTTCCAGAAATACTGTTGGCTATGATGCCATCTGTAACAGTGCAGTCCTTGGCCAGTGAGTCCTACTTTTTTCAATATGTTACAGGAAACTGTTTCTGAGATGTCAGACTCTCTCCTATATTCCTTTCCCTCATTCCTTGGGTGCTCTTTGAGAGTTTGAAAGAGATACATGTTTTGTTTGCATAAGGCACTGCTGTCTCTCTGGAGAGGCGAGCTAAAACCAAAGCCTGGTAGACTTGGACGCGGCCATTTGGAATATGGATTCTATTATCGCCCCAATTTTCATATGTGAAAAGGGCTTTATCAGTATCTTAAAGCTGTTCAAGACAAGTGAAAAACACGTAATATCATGTAATACTATTATAAGCATATGAGGACTAAGAATGACATCATAGCATCTGCTTTTCACTGGGATTTCATGATTTTCTATTTTTTGGCATTCCCAACATGGAAAATCAAAATGAAAAGAGAAGTTCAATATATTCCATTAAAAATATCCAGTTTCTCCTCCAGCGTCTTTAAGGATTTAATTTCTTCTTTTTATTTTCTGTGTATGGAAAAGCATTCTAAAGCTTCTTTTACTTGATTTAATGCTGAGTGTGATTCAATTCAATGCTGTAACCTAAGTTAATTAAACTAAACAAAGGCTGCATTGTCAACACCTTCAGCAGGAACAAAGAGATTATATTTTTTAATGCAATAAAAAAATGCCAATTCATAATACTATTTCTATTCTGCTTACTGTAAATGAAATGAAGAAAACAATCAAATAGACATAATAAACCTTAAACGCTATCATTGTTACAGTATTCCCTATTGTTGTTTTCCTGTTTTCTTTCCTTTTGGCTTTTCGTCTTTTATCCTTACCATCAAGTCTGGTAACATAAAGTGACTGTGACAGCAAGCAAAACGTTTAAGCTGAAAAATGTCTTAAGTTTTCTACTTTTTTATTAGAAAAGCACAGAGGAAAAAATAAATTATTTTTCTGTGCAAGGGATGAAAAATAATTAAAACTTCAAATTAATCTTGCACTACCTATTTTTTATGTACATTCAGACTAGAACCTGATACATGGAGAGTAATGAAAAGAATCAGATTCCTTCTGTGGCAGGAAAATAAATATGACTTTTTTCCCCTCAAGAGACTGAAATCAATATCTAGAGCAGACTACTGACAGTGTAATAACCACCCACACTGGCAATGCACAGCATCCTCAGGGAAGCACCCTCAGGAAAGCCCTGCATCCCATTTGCTGCCCCATCCTGCACCACCAGTGAAGCCTCCTTGCTGATGTAAGAGCCTGGACACCTCCCACTTCACAACTGCCAAACACAAACACAAACAAAAACCCAAGGACAGTGGGGCAGAACCCCCACTCCTCTTTCTTCAGCCTGCAAGGTGTAAGTGGAGCAGAGAAGATGCAGGTGAGCCTCACCTGGCTACTTCCACGAGGCACAGAAATCACTTGGACATCCTTCTCTGCCACAGCTACAATGCCTTCAGGAGGGCAGAGTGCTTGACACAGACCAAACACCACCAACTCAGCACAGTGGGCTGGCAAACATAATCTGGTCACAAAATCTCCTCAATAGGCTGATACTGCAGCTGAAAAGCCCACTGGAGTTTTGTGAAGTTCTCAAGAAAATAAAGGCATACAAAGCAAGGCTTCATAGGCAAGGCACCTCTTAGGATTCCCACTCCTAATCTCCCCGCGCACCACCCACAGTCCCATCTACTGCTTCCCAACAGCCCATATCGCTGCACGGCTCAGAGCTTTAAATACCCATCTGCAGCTTTCTGGTTCCACAGCCTTTCCAGAATTTCTGCAGAAGGTCCAACAGTGCACCTTTTTTTCCTTTGCCAAACATCAGTATCTGTTAGAATAGGATTTTAAAGATATATTTCATATTTAGTGTCTGAATATGCTGTAACAGCCCAAAAAAAAGGCATCTGATCTATTCAGTATGGGGTCTTACCAAACACCAAACACATTATATCTGTTTCAGGATATTTCTTTCTCTCCTGTTTGAGCAACTGAATAAAAGAAGTTGGAGCCTTTGTACTAGATCTTCAGAAGCCATAGCAATCCAAAATATTATTTTCTTTCCAAAATAAGTGAAATTGCCTATTTAAAGATTCTAGGGAGGACTTATATATATATATTTTTCATAAATGTCTCATCTCTCTCTACTTAAAGAATCGAAGGAGTTTGGTTAAGCAATAAAATTGCCAGGAATCAGTAATAAAAAATGTCAGATTTGTCCAAAGAGACCTTTCTCAAGAATTCTTTCATTTCTCTATAGCCACGGTGTCATTTTGCAATTTTTGACTGTTTGACAACAAAGTCATTATTTACAACTGTACCAATGCATATAAAATCCCATAAATGCCTGAGACTGAAGCTATAAAACATGAGAGCTCTTTTCCCCACATTTTGCAATATTTTGCTCTCTCTTAAGATTATGCCATAAAATTATCACTCCTGCTAAAGCAAAATGGACAAGTGAAGAATGGACAATGCGTTGCCTACAGATTTACAGGTTACAACTATGCTTGTTACAAAGGCTGTTGAGCAAAACTGGGCTTAGCTAGAACAGAACTTGGCAGACTTCAAATTTAGAGCAAACAAGGACTGATCAGAAGATTGACAAAAGAAATGACATGCACTGCAAATGATGGAAACCTCCCCCAGCCCAGCCCTGAGCCAGCCCTAACCTGATGGGTAAGGTGGGGATTCTACCCTACCACTCTTAATAATGTTTCTCATGTGGAGAAAACATTGCAGGTCAAGCTCAAACCACGTTCCAAATGGCACAAGATGACAAAATATTTCAGCCCAAATACAGAAGAGAGAAAACGGAGAAATAACAGCAATAACTGCTCATTTCCTTGTGCTCTGACAGAAATCCTACCTCTTCAAAGAGTTAAACGACTTCTTAGGGTGATTAGTGAGGGAAACCATCATATTGAATGTCTTGATGAAGGGAGATAGCAAGAGAGGGGAAATAAGATGACAGAAGTGAGAGTGGGCTCAGAGGAGAAATTAGCTGCATATTCACGCAAATATGGGATTTACTTCCATGTGCTGCAAACTGTGTTGTGGAATAAATGTGCTGATTAAACCGACAAATAAGTGCTGAGTGCACGATCATTACAACACAACAGGACTGTTTCCAAGTGTACATATGAAGGAACTGCCAAAAGGTCTGTTAAAACTGTGTACACTTACCTAGTCAGCAAATAGATCAGTGATCACACCACTTGCTCTGGTTTTTAATAAAGGGATTTGAGAATATTCCCCAATCTTATAAGAAACATAGATTTTCATTATTCTTTTGTGAACCAAAATGAGTGCATTAGAGTAGTTGGAAAAAAATGAAAAAGGCATCTTAGTTTGCCTTTTTTCTTCAGCTGCTCCCTCATAATATATAACTTCAAGTTACAGTAGGTAAAAAGGGAATAAATTGGCACATGTGATATTTTATTACTGATTTTGGAAAAAGCAACAGCAGGTTTTTATGAAACACACAGTGGTTCACATTGTTATATTCTTCAGGGTAATCTGGCTTGTTTCTTACTGCTGGCAATGGGATATAGTAGTGCAACTGCCAAAATTTTGATTCTTCATTCCCCTGGGCTCCCAGCATCCCAGAACCTTGAAAGCACCAGGATCAGGGACTCCTTGGGAATTCACTCTACAGTATGACCCTGGAGCTGTGAAGTTAAATGAGCTACACAGAAAGGACCCTGCAAGCTTTAAAAAATCCCAAAACACAGAGACAAGCTGGCAGTAAAATTTGTGCAATTAAATCAGAAAATGACCTATGGTTTATCAGAAGTTCATGTAAACTGAGACACGTGTCTAAAACAGCAAGAAACAGACATTATTTCCCACAGAAAACCACATCATTGAAAAAATTGCTAGCACACTTCAAAGCTGAAGTCACTAACTGAGCAGAAATCCAGCTTTAGGCTGGAAGAGGGAAAAAGGACTTTGTTGGTCTGTCAGCTGGACCTTACACAGCTCCAGTTCTGAGGACTGAAGGGATTGCAGATGACTCCCAAGAATCTAATGCTGCCAGTGAGACAGAGAGAAGAAAGAGGCAGCTACATGCCACCCTTTGCTCTGGGATGAGTTTGAAAACACACAAAAATCTCAGGTAGATCAGAATGACCAGGTAGTTTGGAATTTAGTAGTTGCTACATTTGGCTATGCATACAGATCCAGAATGGGTCAAAGAATTTCTGTTCAACAGGACTAGCAGTCCCACATTAGCATTTTTCCCACGTTCTTAGACAAAAATACAGTATTTCATCCTGTATCAAATGTACTGTGTGTGCTGCTGGAAAACTATTCAGTTGAATTGCCTTAGGATGTAGCACTTGGGTTACATAAAATAATGTCACATATTAAATCTCTTTTTAATGCCAGGTAATCTCTTTCCATTAAGAGGAGTCTCTCATTGGGAAATACACCTTATTTTATCAGTCTGAACTTTAGCTGGTTTCATTTTTTTTTTTCCTCTCTTTGTCCAGACCCACTTCACTTTATGGCAAACTTTCAAAACCCGTGTGGCAGAATTTGTGCCCACCAGAACAAGAAGCACCTAACAAGAATCATTCATAAGAATGAAACAAGGCAAGGGAAAGGCTTTATTTCCTTCTCTGCTCCTACTCTGCAAGGGCACCCATTTATTTTCCCCACGCCAAAGACAGTACATTTGGAAGAAGCTGAACAGAATATTTATGCTGTTATCCTGAACACAGACTCAACACATCTCCTCTTATCATGGAACTTACCAAAAGATCACTTAAATTGATGACACTCCTTCCATGGACATTAACAAGCCTTGCACCAGATGGATCCAGCACAGTATCAACACCAGAGACCCCAGGTAGGAACAAGTTCCAAAATATTTAGCAAGAACTTTCTGCTTACTTAGTATTTAAGAAACTTCTAAACTTAGTAGTTGAGAAACTTTCAAACCAATGGCTGGAAAAGGAAAGGTGCCAAGAACAACGCTTTTTTGGCTTTACCTGCTTTTCCTTAACACTGTGTATTTTAACAGTAAGTAGATCAGATGTTGAAATATAATCTCTCTTCTGAGAACTAAATGACAGTCCCTAGCTGTTGAAGACACTAAAGTAGTAAAGAGGAGAAAGTGAGGGTACATTTTGTCCAATTTAGTTGTGATGATGCATAAAATAATTATTTCTATTTGGAGGAGAGTAACACAATGACATTGGTGTTTGCAATCAGAGTGAGCCTGTATTGCACAACCTGGGTTTGCAACTGAGGTAGTGTGGTACCATTTATCTGAATCTGAATGTAAGAATTGCATCAATTCTACCTTCATCATCATTAACACAGCACAAAACCAATACCATTATCACAAATGATAACAGGGAGATGTGATCAGTCTCAACCTGGATAGGCAATTAACATTAAAAAAAAAAAAGGAATGGAAATATTGTTTAGTTGTATATGAACAAAGAGGTTCTATTAACCTGGCTTTGCAGTGAAGAAAATTGTCAATATTGCTAACACAGATTTGCAATTAAGTTGGTGTCAATGTGGCTGAGAAAAGGACTTCATAATTAGGACAACACAGTTAGTATTGACCTCAATTTTCAATAAAAATCATGTCTGCATTGTAATTTGGAACTGTAAAATTCATCCTTGGGCTCTACAATTAACATACAATTAACTTGCAGTTACTTTAAAATTAGATAATTATTTACATAATACATTATTTTTTATATAAACATGTACCTTTACAAATGGTGAGATGATTGCAGAGTTCCCAGGAGCATCCAACACTTAAACTTTTCCTTGCAGAAGTATTCTCGAGGTTTTAAATACTTTACTCCCATTAAAAAACTACTGCTTCAGAAGAATCTGCATTCTCACTCCAAATACTGGTTTCGAATTACTAGTTTTAGTTACTCTTTAGTTAAATCTCTATCAATGACCTCACAAATAACTATCATACCCATTTAATTTAAGTACACCAAATGCTTCCAGCAAATGTGATTAAAAGGATACTTACATGGACATAAATTGGTTGTTCAATCAGCATTACATGCTTAAATGCCAAAAAAAACCAAACCCAAGAATATTTAAATGTCACTTTTGAACCCCAGTGCTCACTTTTTTGCACTTAGCTTCCCACACATATCCAAGTCCAATACATCAAAACTACACTCAAAGATAAGACGAAAAAGGAGTTCCTTCTTGAGGGAAAGAGAGCTTTTTCATGTGCTCTTTCCATGTTTCCTCACAATAGAAAAGGGTAACATGAGTCCTGCAGCATTCTTTGTCTCCATCTGTTTTATAATAGGCTCACCTCCTTCTTCTTCTTTTCCTTCTTCCTTTTCCTCTGAACCAAGAATCAAAGGTATCTCAACTTCTGTCGTTTCCTCTTGGTTCAACGGTGGATCTGAATAAATTTGATGAATAAAAAGATGAAGAGTAAGGCTCTTCAGAATGGACATAAAAGGATTAACACCCACTAGAGACCTTGCCATTAAAAACACTGGCAGAGGAAAAGGACCTTTTCCTCCATGACTACAAATAAAAGAGCTGTCCAAGGAAATCCAAGTTCAGAGTAAAGCCTTGAAGATACTCAACTCTCCGGGATTTAGCACAAAATCCTATGTGCCTCCTCCAAACATGGGTCTTCACTGGGACTCACTGCAACCCCAGAGACACACACAGTCCATGCCCCACCCCTTGACATTCTGATGTTTTGAAGGTTAGATACAGCTCTGAGCAACCTGGCCTAGAACGTGTACCTGCCCACACCAGGGGGCTTGGAACTAGATGACTTTTAAGGTCCCTCCAATCCCAGACATTCTCTGATTCCATGATTCTATGTTAGTGTTTTTGCTTGTTGATCTTGCTTTTTGATTTCAAGACACAAGGAGTACCTTCTATTTCCATGCAGGAGCCTTGGGAATCTGCCTCAGTTTTTATCTCCCCATTTGCAGAAACATCCTGTTGTCCTGTTAATATAACAGAAAATGGCATCAGGATGATGCTACGAGCAGGCAACGCTAAATTCATGACAACAGAACATGAACCTCACACTCAGCATGGTACCTCTAAGCCAAGCACTGCTTTTTTTTCTTTTAAGTGAACAATTTCAGACACATTTTGTATATGAAAATATCACTGAACAATACTAAGCATTCAGTTAGTTAAATAGCTGGTCAAAACTGACCCTGCAGCACTTACAGTTTTCCTCTTTTGCAGCTCAGCCTTGACCCTGTTTCTCACAGGACCTGTTGTCAAGCTCTTGCACTTGACAGTCAGCAGAAGGAACAGAAAACACCCCACAGGCTTTCAGAACCACAATAGCAACACAGGACGACATGGTAACAATGCTGTGCACCCAGGATCAGTATGGCTAAACCTATTTAGAGATGTGACTTTCCCAGTGGCACCAGGGATTACAGGGATGACACACAATCTCTGCTAGCCAACAGCATTTCCTTAAGGTGGCAGAAGTCAGGCTGGAACCCACTGGGTGCTGACACTGGAAGCACTGATGTTTCACACTGGTTCATTATCTCTGCTTAAAAAACTTGGATACAAAACTTTACCTTTGGCTTGATCTTGTTCACACATCACAGGATGCACTGAATCACCCTTCTGTGTGCCTTTGGAGTCTTTCAAGGAATCTGAGGAAAAAAGCAAACAAACAAATAAATACTGAAAAAGTCTTCATGCTGGAAAAGGAGTTACTTAGTTAGAGGAGCTCTTAGGTGCCAGCTTCATATTTGGCATTTTGATACACTGACCAATTTCCTATCTGTTTAACTACAGTCTTATAAACTACAGAAGTATATTTGTGGGTTTCAATTATTCAAATTGATTTCAGAATCCCTACCCTTACTGAGCAGTTTTTTGCTGGCAGTACAAACCTCAAACCAGGAGCTGGCGAGGAAGGATGCATAAGAATAATCAGCAGCACTACCAAGAATTTCATTCCTAATGAGTGGAGTGGCACAAATCTATGAGAAATAGCACAAACCACCTACTTGATAAATAAAGTGATTTATTATTTATTTAGAATAACAGTTTTGCACGGTTGGATTTCCAGAAACTTTAAATCTTTCCAGAAACATTAAATCCCATAAATCCCTGTGCAAATCCTAGCCTCATGTCACTTGATGACAAAGCTCCCAAGGTCATTATTGTGGCCAAGAGTGCTTTACTTTTTTGCGGCAGACTATCAAAATTAACTGCCCAAAGCAATACTTGGAACCAGTGGCACAGTGAGACTTGAATTACATTTTGGCAGAAAGTCCAATTGCTGTGCTATCTGGGGTCTTCATAAACACAGAGCATTATTTTGTTGTGTCAAACAGCATTTTTCTGAAAACAGTCCGTTTTTGCATGGGAATGGAGAAATACATAATGCATAATTCCACTGCATTCAGGTAACACAGCAACACAGACACTCAATTTAGTTTTGCTCATCCTCATCACACACAGATTTCACTGGATAAAGAGCTCTCTTTGAGCCTCATTAAAAACCAGTGCTGATCTAACTGGACATTGTGCAAACCACGGGGTAAGTGCACTCCAGGTCATAACAGCAGCAACAGATAATCATTGTTTGTGTTCCCACGTGAGATGCTTTCTAAAATCCTTTTCCATGGAAAAAGTGACGGTGCCAAAAGATGTATAGCACGTGATAATAAATTACATTATGATAGTGTTTTTACAGCTTCAGTTCTGGAAGGTCCCTCCCTACAACACAGATGAGCAAATCTTACAATATATGCAAGGATGCCCCCATAAAACCCTGCTCCTAAAAGTGTCAAAAATAATCCCTGATGGATAAGTAGAAAGCTGGGTTGTTAATATCTGATCCAAATTTAATAATCTGTAGGAAATGTATGTGCTGAAATTGTGTGGCTTTAATTAACTGCAAATAATCCCCCAAGGCAAATATTTAATTACCTGCACATTTTCTTACTTCTTTCATGGCATGACAGTAAGTTTAAAAAACCTAAGTTTGAAAGTATAACAACTCACTGATGTACAATTTGCTAAACTTTATACTTGCTGCACTTTTTTTTGCCCTACTGTTAATTTAAATTTCTACTCATTCTTCTCAGGTGGACCACTGCACCAGTCCTTCATACCAAATTGTACAATGAGGTTCAAAGGATTACCCTTATCAGCCTGAATTGGAGCAAAACCAAATTAGAATTTTATCAAATTCCAAGTTTAATAAAAAAAAAAAAAAATCCAGAAATACAGTTGAAGGATCTCTTGGTATAAATGGGAATAGCAAAAAATTCTATAGGGAATTTTTCAAGCAAACTTGAAACACATTGAGGGAAATTCTGGCTTTTGCCGAGGTTTTTGACAAAGCCCCCAGGTCAGGATTTCAGACAGGATTTCAGACAAGCCAAGATTTGTACTACCTGTAACTCCATACCCTAAATTCATATAATGTATTTTTCTGTACGATACAGCTGTATGATTGTGAAAGGAACTGTACTGGCAAAGCTGGAATCAGAAGTCCTCTGCCTTGAGTACCATGATGCCAGGGCCCAAACACAGCACAGCACTTCATACTCCCAGACTGGTGCCCTTAATCCCAGTTCACTGCTGCCACCCTTTTCCCTAGAATGAGGAATGACTCCAATTTAATATAAAAACCGATCTGCAGCATCACTGGCACAATGATGGGCAGCGCTAAACGGCAGCTAAGGGATTTTAAGAAGCCTCGTGCCTGGCTAATGTATGTGCCCAATCATGCTGCCATTGGTTGTGCAGCATCACAGAGGGAGGGGTGCCATTGCTATTCCCACCCATTGGCACAGCTGGCAGTCTGTCCCACGGGCTTTATTCTTAAGGAATTGTAATCTTGTGTTAAACTTTCATTTTTATCATCAACAGCTGGCCTATTGCTCCTACTGTTTGAGAAAGCAATTTAACTGCACTGAATTCCAAATTATCCCAGGTAATAATGATGATTTTCTGCAAGTTGTTCTTCGCAAAGCATGTCTCTGAAAATAACAGACAATGGGCAGAAGTTACTGCCTGGCTGTAAGAGTGCCATAGTTTTATCTCAGGATATCAGCAGGAACCTGTCTTGATTGGTTTTGCCATGCAGATTCTGAGTTCCAAAATCCTTAAGGTCAAGACCATATCAAAGGTTCCTTCTTTTCAAATCCAAACATTGCACTAAATATTCAAGCCAAAAGGTCCAAGGAAAGATTTACTTTTACGATTAGCAAGCATAAAATAAAGCAAAGGAATAAACCCAGATTTATGAAGCAAATTTGTGCCAAGAGAAAGCGAAAGTGCAAAACCAAAGGCAGTGATCAGTGAAAATGCTGGTGATACACTACTTTCTGTGTTCAAGTTTTCAGCAGGGTAGTGGTATTCTTCAGGCTCAGCTGATCCTCTGTGCTCACTTGGCCCTTTGGAGCCTCGTGCAACTCTGCATAAACCCAGTATTATGGTCCTATATGATTCCAGGGTCTACAAGAGCTCTGGCCACCCCTAAGGCCTTTATTCTCCTCTTATTCACCTGATTTTTAAAAATGGCATAAAGCAATGTTGGTGTTCTCCTAACACAGTTAATTATCTGCTAAGTCATACCAGAGAATCCAAGACTAGAATATCCAAAATATCCAAGGATATTCTTTCACAGCACAGTATGGCTTAGCTTTTTGGTAACATACACACTGGGACCTATTTACTTCGGGTAAGTACAAATTGGGACTGTAAAAGATAACACTCTTACAGTTAGGACTGAAAAAAAAATCTGTTTCTGATACCACACTGGAGCACAGTTCCTAACACCACACATGAATGAACCAAACAGGACATTTAATTGCATAATTAAGCCAAAGATAGGCCACATTTATCTACTGCACATCAGGAGCTTAAGTGCCCACTGAAGTCTGAGCATCCCTTAGTTCTCCCAAAACTCCTCCTTGCTGGCTGGAATGGCAGGGTCCATGTCAGGAGTGCTTGTCTCTGCTACCCTCCATCTTATTGAAACAAGTGTCTTGTGGGACTGCATGCTTGAATCCACCTGGGAATTAGCCCCAGACTTTAACAACCTGTTTACAAACTATTTAGGCTTTAAATAAAGTAATTGGAATACTCCACGAGTATATTCACTGCTCTATGTTGAACTTATCTCCAAGAAAAACTCGTAGCTGGCAGTAAACTATCAATCCTATCCTTCCTGCCAATTGTCAGGCACTGACTAAATTTTGTCTAAATCCTGCATAAATCCCCATGCTTTTCCATACCATTCTTTTTTTTGTTTTAATGAATAAGGCAATGCTGCTCAAACACAATTTTGCAAAAGCTAAGGAAGAGGGGAGATGGTAAGAACTGAATGTTAAGTGGTTTTAATGATATTTTAAAACTCACTTCCCCAGCTACTCTCTGTATGGCTTATTTACTGAGTAGTTTCTAATGTGCAAAACACCTGGGTCCTGTACACAGCATAGATAAATCACCACGTTTTAGGGAGCTGTAAGAAGATCAAAGAGGGAAAATGCTGGTCATTAGGAAAGAAACGAGTTCAGTACATTTTATTTTTTTTAAGCATGATATTGTGATAAATGACTGGAAAATTTCCAGACTGAAAGAAACTAAGCAGACATCTAAAATTACAGGTAATGGTGTGAACAGAGATTGCCACATGATCAGGGTATTCTTCTGTCTCATAAACCGAGGAAAATATGTTAAAATGAAATACTATAAAATTATGATTTATGAGAAGTTAGGAAGAGATTCGTGAACTTTGACTTTAAAATGTTATTTTTATATCCACCAAGATTTCATTTTAATCAATCTTTATAACAGATTCGATTTATTGGAGCCCAAGTTTAAAGTGCTTGGCAAACCAGACTTTTTTAGGTGCAACTTGTAGGGATATTTAATCAAGTTTTCAGGTAATAGACCAAACAGTTCATCTCTGCAGGTGGGATCCACCAAATACTTCTTCCACCTGTTTGTGCTTCAAGCTGACAGAAGGGCATCTCACCTTCTGTCCACCTGAGAAATTCCAGGTGCAGCTGGTATAAAAACTGTGGGCATCCTTCTCCTGATATAAGGGGCAGGACCTGTTGTACAGGGCTCTGGGAAATGTAAAAGCTGAGAAAAACCTGATTGCTTTGGTTAGAGCCTGTCCAGAGGAAAGGCCTGGAGGGAAGAGATGAAAGAGCAGGATCTCACATTGGACTGATGGAAGCACAGCTGAATGGCTCCAGGACAGCTAATGTTCAAAAATAAGGAGGATTTAAATAAAGCAGGTAGGTGGATCAGTGTTCACTGTTGCAGATGCCTGCACCAGTAGTGGTGAAGGGTAGAGCAGAAATGCCTCGAGTGGTTCAGGGGCTGGACCCCATCTGGATGCAGGTCAGATTAAATGTGAAGAAGTGAATAACCCACATTACAAACAGCTCCAAGTGAACCTTGTGGAGGTTGTTAAGATAATAAGTGGCTGGTGGGATGGTGGTGCTGACCAAATCCCAAACCCCACAAATTAGCTAGTGTTAGCCAGCTTGCTTTCACAGGAATCCTTCTCACCAAGGGACACAAAAAACGTTATCACTTGAGTAGGCATGCAAAGCCACAGGTATGGCTGAGGGGGTTGAAACTCTTCCATTTTAAAAGGTTCTTTTTCAGTTACCTATAATTGAAATTTTCCAGGCTTAAATTTTAGGTCTAATCATAGCCCAAGGGTGAAGTAAAAACATTTCATTGGTAGCTGCTGAGTGCTTGGCACTTCTCAAAATCAGGTCAGTCATTTAGATGTCTTAATATATACCTATGAGCTGATTTTAAACACTTCTTTCTGAACATACTGGCCTTTCAGTCAATCTTTTTCACACACTTACCAATGACTAATTCATATCAATTTGCACAGCTCCCCTGCATTTGAAGTGCTCTTTCAGTTTATCCCTTCTCAATCATTTATGTCTTTAGGACATCAAGACTTTTCCATACTGAGAGCGACAGCTGCCCAAAGAGGAATTTATACCCAATACATTTTAGAGGCAGGATACTTACTGGCTACTGGGCTGCCCAAAGAGGAATTTATACCCAATACATTTTAGAGGCAGGATACTTACTGGCTACTGGGCTGCCCAAAGAGAATTTTTAGGGCTTAACCCCTAGCCAAGTCATATACTAATCCTATTTCTGAAAACACAAGCCCTCCAGCCAACTGAATCTGACTCAATTTCAGAGAATGCAGAAAAACAGTGACTTGCTTTCAATGGCACTCCCACAGAAGCCCAGACTTTGGTGAACACCTGGAAATAATTAATCAATCACTACTTTATTTTAAAAATCAATTAGTATATGATTTAATTTAGTTGACCTTCAAATGAAAATTCAGTTCTTATTAAGTGCTAATGAATTATAATCAAGGTATTGTGCACAGAAATTTCGCATAGTAAGGAATTATGCTTCACTTGTACTAGATCCAGTTCCTTTTTACATTTTCCTGCCAGAAAGTCTAATCATTAAATTGGGTTAAACAGTAATTGGAAGAAGAGGCAACTGAGATGCAGATATAGAACACCATCTCACACACACACACACACACACGTGTACATGTATGCATACTCTTTTTAACAAAACATAAGCACAGGTTCAATCCAATCTCTAAGTACTACATGGTCAATTTAAAATAAGTTTAAAGCCCCAGCACAGTCTTGTACAGACAGACATACCAGACTGAGTGCAGCCTGCCTGATACACCCTTTATCTGCTGCATAAACATTAATGACTTTAATCACTTTGTTCTGCCCTTTCACCTCATAGAAAGAAGCATCCCTCACTTGAAATTAGCTGCATTTAAAGGATCTACTTCCATATGCACAGCAATGAAGCACTTGCAAAGGTGCTGCCTGGAGATGTCAGCTCTCCCCCAAGAGATCAGTTAAGCATGCAAGTTTTTAAGGGTAAAAGTGCAACAGCTCTTTGCGGACAGTGGAAAGAAAAACTTGGCACAGACTGGAATAAGAGGATACCTCTACAGTATTGCATTGAAAATCCTAATATTCTTGAAATATGACTGTTCTTTCCCCCTTTCTTTCTTTTCTGTATGAACACTCAGAAATTCATTTCGCTCAGAGTCCATGTGCAAACTGGGTTTGTGTGGACTTTTATTCCTGGACAGTTTCTCTCCTGTGGTAACAGAAGACATATACTTTTAGTTTAATGTGAAAATTGCAGTTGCACAGGAGGTTTTCATTTTAACAGAAGCCCCTCAAAATGTAATTCCTGCACTGTCCCCTACTCTTATCATGAAAATCTCATTCATCCTCCCTCTTTTCCTTAAAAAAAAAAAAATTATAAAGAGGACTCACAACAAAAATACTAGATTTTCATAGCAGCAGTGCTCTGTTTTGAATATCACCACATAGTAGCAGCAATAACTACGTCAAGGTGTTTGCTATATTCTAATCCCAGAAATACGAGGAGGAAAAAAAAAGGCAGAAAAACTGCTAGTCAACTCTAATTGGACTCAAAATACTTGTTTTGGTGCACTCACAAATGAACTGGCATTTGAAAGACCTAAACTTTCATAGCAGGAAACAGTGGTTTAAACTATGCATTTTGGGAATGTGCAGCTAGACTTACTTGCCATAAATCTTTTACAGTAATTAGGTGGAAGGACTGGGGAAACATAATGTCTCTAAATGCTTTATGTCCTGTTCATCTAGTTGAAGATAAACTAGAGAAATTAGTATGTTCCAGAACCTGGAGGTTTTAGCCGTGTTAACTCGGTGGGCAAACAATTTGAAAGCTGGAATTTATTTTGGGAGCATCAGATGTTTTCAGAAATGCCAGGATTTTGTAAAAGCGCCATTTCTCAAGAAGCAGCACTTCTTTTATAACAGTAGTATTTATTTTTTAAAAAACTCAAAATCTGAAATTATAGAAACATTGAAGAATCACAGAGTGGTTTGGGTTGGAAGGGATCTTGAAGATCATTTCATTCCAATCCCCCCAGCAGGGACAACTTCCACTAGACCAGGTTGCTCAAAGCCCTGTCCAACCTGGCCTTGAACACTTCCAGGGAATGGGGCAACCACAGCTTCTCTGCACAACCTCTGCCAGTACCTCAGCACCCTCACAGTAAAAATTTGCAAAGCCAAAAATCTACCGATGGAAATAAGGATTAAAACCATGGCCTGGTCCATGGTGGCCTTACTTATCAAAATTCCTGTTTCCATTAAAAAAAAAAAACAAGCAAGCAAAAATGAAAACATGGTCTTAGCTTTCCTTTTTTTTTTTTTTTTTTTTTTAAACTTGTACGGTTTTACAAACAAAATCTATGGAGGAGAGTTTGTCTCACTCCTTTTTCCCTACCCAATGCTTCCCATCTTTCTTATGAGGAGAGGCAGGACATCATAGAGATAAAGCACTTTGGATCTCTCAGGACACTACCTCTTCTGTCAGCCTCTCAAGAAAAGAGGGGAAAACACTATATATACTCTTAATGTATTATATGAAAAGTGAGACTTATCACACAAAGATGATTTCTTTCCTAGGAAGAGACTTCTAATGCAATGGCATAAAAACCTGGAGGGCTTACACACCGGGAAGCATATCAGAAGACAGTCATCTTCTTAGCTAGGAACAAGCACTCAGAACAATTTGTTGGATCATCAGCTGACTGCAGAAAGAAAAGGAAAATCCAAACCCAAAGCCTCACTGTGACCCTCGCATTGTGAAACATACAAAATGGGGAGTCTTCCAGGTACAGAATATATAAACAGGCCAAATGTCATCAAAACGAGAAATTAATGACAGGCAATCACCAACCACACTGGGATTGAATCCATCACTATTTCTGTCTTCTACTACCCTTGCTATGACTTCAATTTGTGATGTATCAAAAGCAAAAGCCAGTGCTCCAGCAAAGGTTTGTGGTTCTTTTTTTTCTTTGCAGTATCAATCAATCTGCTAAAAGAGCTCTTAAATCAACCTGCAACAGGCTTTGAACTCATAATCAGGTAAGTATGTGGGCTGTCCAGGATGTGGCTTTGGAACAAAAAGGCAGGATCTCACACCCTGTCACACTTACCTAGAGAAATGAGAAGAGAGTCAAGTAGTGATGCTGAATTAAACATGAAATATTTTAAAATAAATAAGTTAATGGATGTTAATAACTATGTTATCTCAGTAAAAATGCATGAAAATTTTCTATTAGTCTTTCTTGAAGGCCATACTGATGGATTCTATTTATTATAGATAGCATAACTCCTGTTTTGGATTACCAGTAGCAAGTATTTTGTATATCACCCAGACTTCTTCCTAATGTACCCCCACAAAAATGCTAAAAAATGTGGACCAGGACAAGAAACTAATAGCATGATTATCACAGGAATATCAGAAACAATACAGCTGTGCACTGGTTCCTATCTGTTGGTAAACCAACAACTCCACAGGAAAAATCTCAGCTTGAAACATTTAAATTAGATAATCTCTCTTGTTTCCTAAACTCCCTGTCATTTGGCCCTGTGACACTTTTAAATATTTATTACAAACTAAATGATCTGAGTGCCCAGCACAGTCTGCACAAGATAAACATTACTTTCTGCCTCTCTATTATGACTTCATCTCCTCCTGTCTCCTCCTGATGTGTTTATAGCTATTGTGTTTTTCTTTTCCTGCATCAGGAGAGCACTGAACAGAGAGCTGATATTGCTGAGATGGATGTGCATGCTTAACTATATGCCTGTGAATCACCCCAGCGAGCCCAAGCTTTGGGCTTATTTTGGATATGTCACGTATGATATTTTAGAATTAACTCCATAACAAGAGGACTTAAGAATTTGTAGCATCTCTCCTACGAGCACAACAGTTGGTGCCAAGTACTTCATTACAAAGACTTTAGTAAATGAAAATCCAAGCCTTTACCTATTTCTATATTGTTTAACTGTGATTTTGGCTATTTCCAGACAAAGGAAAAAACAGTTTCATGAAATGTCCTCTTGGGACAGAATATTTCAAAACACAATTTCCAATCTGTACCTTTATTCTCACTCAGCTCAATGTCTTCTGATGATAGGCTGTCTACAGCTGAAGGTTTTGTTTCACCTATAAGAACAAAGGAAATGAAAGAGAAGCTATTCATTAAATAGAAAACTGATGAACCACTTTACTGAAAAAAAAAAAAAAAAAAGGGTGATGCCTCACTGAGAATAGATATTGGACCTGAATTTCATTTACTGGGCTTCCATCCATTCACTGGCTATTACTGGTCTGATTGTCTTCCCTAAGCAAGATGTAAACTAACATTCCAATACAGCCAGATCAAATCTGTATTTCAATTTCTCATAATACAGAGAGAGGAACAGCTATTGCTTTCATTGGTGTTCTGTTTGCTCTGAGATTTCTTTTTTCATTTAATCCATATATTTTGAGAAAAAACAATTAAGCCATTCTTAACTTGAATCACGTCCATGAATCCCACTGGAATCCAAATGACTAGATGCAAATGCTTTCCTGAAAATAGAAGCTTTCAGGAATCAGGCCTGAAAATAAAAAGTCCCTAAAAATCTGCAGCTTGGAGTTTTTTAATAGTAGAGCAGACAGGTAAAACTATTGTTGTTGACAGATACAACTGGTACCTGAACTTAATAAAATGTTTTCACTTTCACTGTTGATTTTTCTTGCTAATTTGTATAGTTCTAAAATCTTTATAAGCTTTTAATTTCTAGATTTTCATTTCTTTCAAAAGATTTGTCATTGATGATTCTGAGAAATCTTTTTTCCTTATATAGCCATCTATTACTTTAACTAGATTGAAACAAGAGCTCAGAACCGCTTGCCATGTTGTTTTTCTGTGCTAATTGTGAAGCTCATTGATGACAGTCTGGAGGCCAGACTTTAAAAAACCCCACACAGCTGAAAATTTCCAGTCTTTTCAGACTATTACTGTTTTTTACACGACTGTAGTTTTCTTTATAATATATCGTTTTCTCTATAATATAATGATATTTTTCAATATAATGAGAATATACAAATCTTTTTGTAATGGACCAGGTAAGAATAGAGCATCAATTTTTTGTCCTATATTTTCTTTCACAATATCAAAGTATATGATTTGTCACACTCAGACGAAGTTTATGCCTTTTGGTTTACATAATACAAATAAGAACTTTAACATCTGATGGGATTGCTCCTAACAATGGTCACTTGTAGTGTTCAGAAATCTTCTAAGCATACAGCTGAGCACCTTGGAAAATCAGGTCATTTTCTACTGCCAAGAAAGGGTGCAAATGCAGCAACCTCAAAGTTCCTGATGATGCTTTGTCTCTGCAATGCATAGAGCAGAAAGCAGCAGAGACTCACAAGTGGATGTAACTAACTTGGGGTAATTGTGGCCCTCTCTGTTCCTGTCACAATGTAAACCAGGAGGGAAAACTGTTCAGCCAAATAATTTTTTCCTGCAACACCATCTGCCCGTGGCCAAGGAGGTGACTATTAGGCTGTGAGTGGGCATGACATCATCTAAACCATGTCCCTAAAGTACAACATTTGCTGGATCTCGGACCTCAAATATCTGGACCTTTTTGACACTCTTCACGAGAATAATGAAGCACGAGTACCAATACAAGATAGCAAAAGAATGTATATTATGGCTCTGATAAACTAGCCCTGACAGCTCATATTGCAACAAGTCATAACAAGCAGTTTTGGGACAAGCCCAGTGTATTTAAAACACCTATAGTAGCAAAGTAGTAGTTTCAAGAGGTAAATATTCCTTAATTCCCTTAATTAATATTCCCTCTTGGGGGAAAAAAAGGACTATTTTATTCAATCAAACTGAAATACTCACCCACCAGAGTGACTATCACTGATAAGCACAGCAGGCTGTATTGGGCATCTGCAGATGCTATAATCAGGTTTAAGAGGAACCTCTGCAAGTGGAGCCAGGAGCTCCAGGCAGTATTAGCTCGTAGGTGAGCTAGCAACCAAGCAGTACTTGGTAAAGTTAAAAGCTCAAAATTGCTTGGAAAAAGATATGCCCCAGTCTAGTCAGAGAATCAAAACAGAATCTCAATTCACACAGAAAAACTCTTTCTTCTCCCTGGTCCCCTTGGCCTGTTTAAAATAAAACTAGCATGAAATTGAAAAACCAAGGAACGATATGTGGTTGCCCTCCAGCACTTATAAAACACCACCATGCACTTATCCTGGGGAGGATGAAGTTTGCTGAGGTCCATAGGAATCTATTTTATTCTGTAATACTGTTTGCTTCTGGCTTCACCACCCACTGCTTGCCCCGCCTTGGGACATATAGAAGAGGTGACAGAAAGGACATGAAACACAAAGGACTTCAGGCACATACAGGCAGCATCAGATGTTAACACTCAGTTGCAGAACAATGACCTGTGAAAGGCCAGGAGAGAAGCTGCCCTTCTACCTGCACAGTGGCCAATGCACAGGATGAAAAGAAGACCCTCATTCAATGGACTTCTCACTTCCACAATACAGGAAGCAAATCAGGAATCCAGGCCTTCTAAATTTATCTGCTGTGTTTGCTGACTGGCCATCTTCAGCTCAAGAAATTCCAAAGGATACCCTTTTATTCTTTCTGGTTTAAATACATTTAGGGAACATTCTGCATTACAACAGGAAAAAAAATCCTAACCAAATGAGAAAAGCAGTGTGCTACATGTAATACTACAGTTAAAGAAATACTTAAGAGATAAGGGAATAGACAGACATTTTGATTTCCACTTCAGGTCTTTTGGTACCTAATTCATCCTAGCTGTCTCTTGCAAGGAACAGAGTTGTGCAGCATGAAAAATACAACCATAAACAGAAAAAACACACTCTTGTGAGCATGGAGTTACACTGTATTCCAACATATTGAACTCACTATAATTTATAAGCATGTCACCTGCAAACCCCACCACTTGCGAACTCTGACATTCACTCACAGCATATGCAATATTTATCCCTATGGATTTAAATCTTCATAACCACTGTGACTTGTGTAGACAATTTTTTAAAACTTGAAAATACCCTTTAAAAATATTCAGGAGTTGAGTTTTGATCAGAAGGAGCATGCTGCTTGCTTCTTCCTTCCCCAGATTTCTTTCCTTCATTCCTATTCTATGCATATTTATTTCTTGTGAGAGGATTAGCTAGATTAGGCACCTTAGGGGAAGAATGCAGAGCTGGTAAGCTGGAGAGGGGTCTGCATTCCTGCACTGCAACACATTCATTCATAATGAATGAATATTGGGGCTGTAATGGGAGAACTGCTCAAGACCTGAGCTAATCTGGTGAAAATGTACAAATACTCCCCTTCAAAAGCACTGACTAAGGTTATTGTTCACCAAAGTGGATAAAAGCTAAGACAGGCCTTTAAGGAGCTGGGCACAAACCTGTTTCTTGGCTCTGGGTCTTACTTTCATCGGTGCTTTGCTTATCCACTGCGCCATTACCACCTATTGAGAAAAACACATGAAAATTATTCATGATACATCCTTTTTATTGGTAATTTGAGCAGTGCAATATTAACTGTAACCAATTTAGCACAAACTGCTAATTTACAGCCAAGTGCTGTGATAAAAAAGGAGAGATGTAAAGGTAAGCTGAAAAAAACTGCCAACAGGACCAGTTCCATTTAAACCAGTCATGTTTTTATATCTCAAAATGAGGATTATAGATTTTATCTCAATAGCTCACTGGAAATAACAATATCAACTAAAGGGACGTTTCCCTAAACACAGTCTACAATAAATGAAACTGTTGCTTGAACTTCTACGCATTTTATAAAGAGGTTTTTCCCTAGGATTATTTTCAACAGGATCCTTGAAGTGGCTGTGTTTCTGACCTGCAGAACTTACTTCAATGCCTATGGAAGGTAAGAATCAACTGATTTGAATTTTAAAGCAAAAGCCACAATACCACTTAATGTAAAGTATAAAAATGCATCACAAATGGCTGTAATGAAGAGAGCACATCAAACCAAAGTAACATTACTAGGACTGAATGATTATTTTCCCCTTTTTACATCCGCATTCATTCCCAGCTTCCTCCACTACTTCACATTCATTAACCATTTTCTACCCTCCAGCTCCCTTCTGGAAGGCAGGCACCCAACAGCAAATAACCACTGAGGAACGAGTAATACCCTGAAAAATATCTACGTGTTTCTTAAACTTTGCTTGCCCTGATTAGAAAGAGATCAGGAATTCTCTAATCTCAGGGGTGGAAAAGGCTCTTTCAGCTTCATAATAACACGAGAGGCTGCAGAGCTGCATGTGGGATGGGATGCCATGGCCACGCTCCCTGCTTTGCAGCACCACAAGAAGAGCTGAGTACCAGCCTTAACGAGGTATTTGAAAAGTTGACTGCTGAGCACATACATTGTGAGAAGGGAAATTCACACCCAGGCCTGGAAACGTCTCGATAATGATACACATATATTTTTGCTGTGATCTTTGCCGGCTGCTGGGTTTTCTGATTACAGCTTCTCTAAAGCAACACAGCTGAAGTTCCTTGTGTCGGCCACCTTGCTTTTACTTCACACATGGAACCTGGTGATGGGAATAGCAGTGGTCAAGATGTGATTAGGTGGATGGAAGGAAAACAGAGCACGTATTTTCCACAGGCAGATGTGCATCTGGTGGCACGCTGCATCCAGCTGCTATTTAAAGGCTGAGGTATGATGCTTTCCCTCTTTCCAGCAGGCAATTCTTCCTGGCATCCAGCAGATGGGACTAGTGGAGAATTATTTCCAAGGCTGGCCCTGCACAGAGCTGCTGTCAGGAGGAGAGGAGATGGATCAGGAACTTGACACCCTTCACCTGAGAGAAGAGAGGTGGGCAGGGTGTGGCTGATGGCCATCAGCAGAGACGTGGGCTTCCTGCCCTCCCGGTAACTCTTTGTATGAATTCTAACCTTAATGGATGACTTGCCATAGTGATTTCTTAGCACATTAGTGAGCTCTAACCTGTAAAAAATTGCATTATGTGGATGATCAAAACGGAGTGAAAAAACCTGAGGGGTTTTTCTTTCCCTGACTTGAAATCAAAAGGTATTGCTTTCAAAGTCACCATTCTGCCTGATCACACACAATAGGAGGACCAGATGCAAACTAGAAAGTTGGCTAAACTTTCCTCTCCCCCACCCCTTTTCTCTTAAAACACAGTCTTGGCACCATCAAGCTATGCAGCAAGCATTTCATAAATAAAGACAATCCTGTAACACAGCAGTGCAGCAGCACTGGAAAAATCTTTACCAATAGGTCAGACCAAAAGAGATCATTGCATCACTGTAAAATGAGCAGTGCCAAAGCTTCAAGGATTCAATTATGGTCAAGTGGAACATGTTTCACTCTATGCAGAAACTAGAGAAAGCAGACCAGGCATAAATGTAACTACTGATATATAAACGAAATTAAAACCATCCATTACCTTACTGCATTCACAATTTAAAACTCCCATTTCCAGATGATACTTGTTTCTACATCCATTATTATGACTATAACCACAACTTATTTGACTAAAGCCAGGTATTTCAAGGGTTCATTCATATTTCAAGAAACTCTATCTCTTGCTTAAGTCACTCAGAGAAAACTTAAACTACAAGAGAAGGTTTAAATGATCATCTGGTTCAGCAGATTATCAGCTAAACCACATTTTCTCAATCCTAAATGTATTATTTCACCAGACATTCCCTGTTTAGAACTGGTGTGATAGAACATAAATTATAGTATTCTCGGCATGTTTTCACTTCATTTTGTTCCTCTAGAAAGAAAAATGTAAAATACTTTAAGCAGAAACTTCACCTATTGCACTCTGACCCAATCCAATAGACTGACTGGATCATGACATGAAAATCCATCTTGGTCAGTGCACTGACAGTAAGTGGTGTGCCTGGCAAGTGACTTTGGCAGAAACAGAGAAAAGGAAATGCTAAAAATCAAGACTGGACCAGTGATGCTCAAGTAAAGGACTTGCAGAAGGAATGGTTAAGCTCTGCTTGGCCTGGAGTATCTATTTATCTTGTGAGAAAGGGAGGAAGCAGAGCATGAATATACTGACAAGAAAGCAAACTAGAAAAAGGAGAAGCGACTCATCCCAAAGTCTTTGACAAACAGGTTTTTCCACTTTCAAAAGAATCTTTCTAATGAGTCTCTCACTGAGTGTCTTTGATGAGGAATCTTTCTGCAGTTATTGCTCTCCACTGGAACTGGGTGCAGAGCAAATAGAAAGGCTTTAAGGAGCACGTCCTCAAGGCAAAGAGCTGGAAATACACTTCACAAGAGTAGTGAGACAATTTTTCCATCATATTTTTATTCACCCCTGGCTCTCCTTTTCTCCAGGCAGGAAAGCCAGAGCCAGTACCTTTTCCTTGAGTCTTCCCTATGACCATATTATTTATAATAAAAATGTCTTTTCCACTGGATGGCTTCTACAGTATCTGCCATCCTCTTCCCACTACTGCAGCAATCAGTGATTGCATTTCCTTTAGGTGAAAGCTGTCCTCACAATATTTGCTTTTCTATCACACTGGTAATTGAACAGCAATCTGTCACTCATTCCAAAGGAGATACAAAAAGTGGCAAATGACATGTCGTGTCATTTTAGGCCAGAAAATGTAAATTATTTCGAGCCACATCACAAGACAAATGGGAACATCTGTTTCTTACCCCCTGGCATGACAGTCAGTACTAAAAAATAGAAGTTTGAGGGCTACAGTAGTACTGTACAAACAAAATAAGCACATCAGACACTAAAAAACCTTCTTCTGTCCATAAATTCTGCTTTCTCTTGCCAAGTTGACTACTGCCTGATAGGTTCTTGCTGTCTTCCCTTAGCATTTTCTTTGAGGTCATCAAGAAAATCCATTCCCCTTCCCCAAATGATGTATTTGGTAGAAAAGAGGCTAAAGAAGCATCAATCAGCATGCTCAGCAAGCTGGCAGAGTAAGTGGCACTTCTAACTCCACAAGAAAAGAGGATTCTCCAGGAGTGCCTGACCACTTTCTGCTATGGAGAGCCATTTAACATGCACAGTGAGGTGCCAGCTGCAGGGGCAGCCCCCAAAACGAGGCAGATGATCTGAGAAATAATAAGCCAGCCATCGGACAGGAGAGGACTGTGACAAAACCCCAATGAAAGGTCAGGGAACATACCCTTGAAGCAGGTTTTAGTATTCGCATTTTCTCTGGAAGAGCCTGGAAACGTGTGGCTTCTTACATCTTCTACTGTTCTTGTGACAAACATGTGACAAATATTAATAGCCTGCTGACCTCTTGGCTCTTCCCATTTCAGAGCTGAGGAAGTGCTTGCACACCTACTCCTCTTCAGCAGCACCTTTCTTCACAAGCAGTGGCGACATACTTAGAGATGAGGCTAAAGTCAGTGCACCAAAAACCAGTGCAAAAAGACATTTTTCAGAAGAAAACAGAATTGCAGATACTGTAATTTTTTATTATTATTTAAAGGAAGAAATTCTGCATAACCAGTACAAACCAGTCCATTTCTACCCCTCCAACACAGAATCACAGAATATCCTGATCTGGAAAGGATCCACAAGGATCATCAAGTTCAACTCATGAACACAGAGGCTATTAATATTAAAATTGTTTTTGCTACTGAGAAAGCTTTATTTATATCATCCTTAGGGTGTCAACGTTCAGAATAAGGTTTCTTCAAACCTCCTTGTCATTCCTGGGGTAGAAATACAAGCGACAAAGGGTCAACACCTGAGGCTTTCATCTTAATTTGTGCAGGTGCCACATCCTGAGACACCAGGTTTGATCCTGTTACCTCTCTGAATGGCTCTGCCATGCAAGTCCAGGAGCATCCTCTGCTTTTCTGCATGGACAGTGACTTTGGCATCTCTCCACTGGCCTGACCTGTGCTTCTTTCTTGTATAACAAATACAAGTACAATCAAGATCTGTCAGACAAGAGACGCCAGTTTTGAACTATTTTTTTTACAGCACAGAAATACTGCCATGGTAATTGTACTAATGACACGGAGGTCCTTATCGCATAGCAGAGAAACTAATTACTGAGAAAGTGAAAAATATAGGCTTTGGTCTGCATTCTGCACACAAGTAGATATGCTGGCTTCACTGAAACCCCTAAAATGTGAGAAGAAAGCACATGTCCATCCATATAGGCACTTGAGATCATACAGCCTGCAACCATTTTCAAACTATTCCAGTGGTAAAATAATATCAGACATAAACCAAGAAGCACATACACACAAAGGCCATTATTGCAGAACTAAAAACACATTAAAGTGAATCATTAATGTGGAGGCCTGAGGTTGATGAATATTTTCAGTTTTCATTTTAATTTCTTTTAATTAAATTATGATTTAGGTCAGTTTTAATCATTATTTGTATATAACCCCTTAGGGGTAAATTTTAAGAAGGGTTAGTAACAAGTTATCTGCAGTAATTGTTTAATGGAGTTATGAGACTCT